CAAACGTTTTTAATTTTTGTGGGGTCACAGTTACTTATTTTGTCTTTTGCTGTTTGTTTTCAGATAATCCATTGTTAAAAGCTAGGCCCAGCACTGTTGCCCCTTCATTTACTTCTAAACATTTTGTAGTTTGAGTTTCCACATTTAGGTCCTGAGCCCATTTAGAATTTGTTTTTGTGTGTAGTGTAGGCAGGGGTCCTGTTTCATTTTTTTGCATGTGGAAATCTTAATTTCCCTGGCACCATTTATTGAAGAGACTCTTCTTTCCCCATCAAATCAATTAGCCCCCTCATCAAAACAAATTGACCATAGATGTGTGAGTTTATTTCTGGTCTCTCAATTCTATGTCTATGTGTCTTCTATTAATACCAGTACCAGGCTGTTTTGACTACTGTAGCTGTATAATATGTTTTAAGATCAGAAAGTGTGAGTCCTTCTCTTTGTTCTCTTTCAACATTGCTTTAGTTACTTGGGACCTCTTGCTATTTCAAATAAAGTTGAAGATAGGTTTTTCTATTTCTGTAAAGAAGGTTGTGGGAATCTTGATCAGGATGGCATTCAGTTTACAGATCACTTTGGGTAGTACTGACGTCTTAACAATATTAAGTCTTCCAATCCATGACCTTTGATCTCTTTCAGCAGTGTTTGACAACTTTTTTTTTTTTTTTTTAATGCCAGTCCTGACCACCAGCTTGATACTTCCAAGGAATTATTACTAATTTAGCAAGTAATTATATTATTTTGAATTTCTAAGGGATTGTTACTAATTTAATTTCTTAGTGCAGATTTGCAAAGGTGTTATGGGTAATGTGAGAAAAAATAGAGCCCACTTACAGAAACAAATGCTTAACAGATGATATGATTTGTTTCAGAAGAGTAAATAGGGGGAGGAGTGGACAGGGGTGTGGGTGGGGCTGTATCAGTCATCAGTTAGTAGCGGCTCTTGGGGCTGGACAGTGGATGGTACGCAGAGATTCATCAAACTGTTGTGAATACTGTCGTGTATATTCGCAGGTCTCCACAAGTTTCCTCTTCCTGATACTTTTACTTACACCTACATATTAATACCAAAGTTTCTGAATAACAGCTTCTGAAAGCAATGCTGTTAAGATATAATTTAAGGTTTTAAATACAAATTTATTTGGTTGCTCTGAACATTAGAGATGAAAGTTTATGGCCAAAACTATAGGTTTCACTGGTACTGTAAACACAGAGAAGTTATGTAGCCCAGCATTTCCTATTGGTTAATCGTTATATTTCAGAAAGATTTCTTCATGTCATGTAGCCTAGTTTAGTGTCTAGACTCAGTTTAGTGTCTATCAGTCAGAATGCCTGGAAGCTGATTACAAATACAGATTGCAGGCCCTCACCCCACAGATTCTGATCAGAAGGCTGAGAGTGGTATTGAAATATACATTCTGAGGAAGCTCAGGAGATAATTTAACTATACTGAGTATCTGTCAGATTTTCAATTCATTGTACTAACACATACACACAAAATAATGTGATGGTGAAATATTTTAATGTAAGTTGTTGCAATAAAAAAATGACTGTAAAGTTTTGTGGATTATTGTTTAAAGAAGATCTATATGAAAGATACTATTTAAACATCAATCATCAGTGTCACTGACATTTTTTAAATACACATTGCACAGGATAAAGTATAGTTATAAAGAAGAAACATAAATAGGGTGAATGATGACTACTGCCCCAAAGTCGTCTTAAAACTACTAGACTAGTCAAGGTGCTCCTTTATATATAGTAATAGCACACAGCCAGTAATTTCCAGCAAAAAGGCTTAGAAATAGGTAGGGGCAAAGTTTGAGGAGCCTGAACAGAAATACTGGTTTATGTAGGTCTGTTTAAGCCAGTAGGGAGCTCTGGTAGCATAGTGCCTAAGGCACTTGACTGCTAACCAGAAGGCTAGCAGTTCAAACCCACCAGCCACTCTTTGGAAGGAAGGTTGAGCAATACTACTTCTGTAGTGATACTGCCTCGGAAACCCAAGGAGGGTCGCTGTGAGTCAGGTCCGACTCGAAGGCACCTAACAACAACATTTAAGCCAGTAGGGAGCCCTGGTGGTGCAGTGGTTAACTGGCCGGTTGTTAACCAAAACGTTGGCTGTTTGAACTCACCAGCCGCTTCAAGGGAGAAAGATGTGGCAGTCTGTTTTGCTAGAGATTACAGCTTTGGAAACCCTATGGGGTCGTTCCACCTTATTCTGTGGGGTCAACTCAGTGGCAACCGTTTCTCTAGGCCAGTTGATAGCTACACAGTTTTGAGGATGTGGATCCTGCCCGCTCTCTTCACAGTGTTGCGTGGACTAGTGCAGAGCATTTGGTCAATTCCACCGCACTGGCAGCAGCAGTCAGCAAAGCCAATTCATACTTGTTCAGAAAGGTGAAGCATTAGGGTTTGCCAGGTGGAGGGAAGAGAAAGGCACCAACAAGTATCAAACAGCTGCTATATATCAGGTGATTCACATATTTGTTGAAAGGAGAGAAAGCTGCTCCTGAGCCAACATAGACTGTCTGACTCCAAGGTTTCATTGTATTATTACAGCATAATAGGAAGTAAATGAGACAATGGAGGTGTTATCTTGACTCAGACAACCTATTGCACAGTCCAAGGATGCTAAGGGAAACCAGTCCATCGATAGATAATTCTGGAAAAAATAAGGAACCACAAAATATGAATGAATTACTAGATGATATATTTTATCTTTTCTATTCTGAGGTAGTTGTCAAAAATGATGGTAGAAGAGTGGCATCTGCTAAGCAGGAGGGTTACTATGTTGACACTAAGTCTGGAGTTCCTTGCCAATCCAGTACTTTAACTGTGAGGGCGTGGTGTAGTGGGCTAAAGCCTTGTGCTGCTAAGCAAAAGTTGGGCGTTTGAATCCAGCAGTCGCTCTGCAGGAGAAACATGAGAAGGTCTGCTCTGTAAAGACTGACAGCCCTGGAAACCCTATGGGGCAGTCCTACCCTGTCCTATAGGATCACTCTGAGTCAGAATCGACTCAATGGCAGTGGGTTTGGCTTTTTGGTACCCGTTCACTCACACATCTTACCTATTAGAGGAACTCCCGAGAATTAATTTTATTGCATCAATGACAATTGCATCTTAACACTTCAAGGCAAATCTTAAATCTGTTTCAGTTACAAACATCTATGACTTTTTCACTAAACACACTCAGAATAAATTACATTGACAATTTATACTCTAGTAATAAATCATCTGTGTCCCTTATTAAAATGTTAAAACTAATTCCTTTACTCTTAAAATATTAAGCATAGGTGTGGAATTTTGTGAGCGGGCAGTGGTGGGGATTCACCTTCCATCTGGGAGACCCAGGGTTTGGTCCTCTAGTGCTGCTCTAACAGGAATGCCACAAGTGGATGGCTTGAACAAACAGAGATTTATTCTCTTACAGTTTAGGAGGCTAGAAGTCTGAGTTCAAAGTGCCAGCTCTAGGGGCTGGGTGAAAGCCCCTCGACCTTGGGCCTCAGCTCTGCCTCTTGCTCCAGGCCCACTAGAGCTGGAGGCTTCTCTTAACTCAAACAGCCGCTGGCTGCTGAGGCTGACAACCCAAGGTCAACAAGTAAAATGACACAGCCCCCACATTATCAAGCAACACGGCAGGCCACTAGTTCAGCTCCAGAAATAGGCTCAAGATCAGCAGAAAACATGGCAGGCCACTGAGATGAAAACTCAGCCAAATGCAGGGTCCAGATGTGCTAAAAAGCTCAGAAACCTTTCTCAAAGCTTCTTATATACCAGATGCAGACGACATCCCTAAGGCACTCAGCTGCTCACAGTAGATTCCACCATGGAGCTGCATCATGGGGAATATTACATCCAGCTGCCCAGCCACTCAAAATCAGGCCCAGCCAGGTTGACACACAACCTTAACTACCACACCCAGGTTCAGTTTATCTCATGCACAGCCACCAGCCCTCTGTCAGTGGAAGCTGGCTTGTTGCTATGATACAGAACAGGTTTCTGCAGCGCTTCCAGATGAATTAAGCCAGACTAGGAAGAAAGGCCTGCTGATCTACATCTGAAAAATTAGCCAGTGAAAACACTGTGGGTCACAGGCATATGGACCCCATTTCGTTTGGGGTTGCCATGAATCGATGAGCTAACTGGATACTAACAACCGATTTTAATGGAAATATTGTCTCACTGAAACGTGAACTTACTTCTAGGACCACAGCTCCCCTGTAGAGTACTACAGGGAGAGGGAGCGGAGTCTGTAGACTACTTAATGCACCCATGTCAAGTGCCAGGCCTACTGTGATACAAGATGAATCTGAAACAAACAGGAGCCCAGTAAGCATTTTCACATGATCCAACCATTTGTAGAGCAAGCCTGCTCTAAGGAAGAATCCTGAGGGTCATGGCTCTGGCCTTGGAAACCTAACAAGATTTTTTTAAAAAATAAAAAAGGAAAAAAACCAACTCACTACCATCAAGTCAATTCTGATGCACAGTGACCCTATAGGACAGAGTAGAACTTCCCCTGGAAGGCTTCAAATCCTTATGGCAGACTGCCACATCTTTCTCCTGCAGAGCAGATAGTGGGTTAGAGTCTCTGACCTCGCTATTGGCAGCCAAGTGCTTTAACTACTGCACCACCAGGGGTCTTCAACAAGATGTTCCCCGCCCCCCCCCCAAAAAAAAAACAAACCTCAATACCATCGAGAAAGTTCCAACTCATAGCAATCCCTCCTTGGCTTTCCAAGGCAGTATCTCTACAGAAGTAAATTGCTCAGTCTTCCTTCCAAGGAGTGGCTGGTGGGTTTGAACCACCAGCCTTCTAGTTAGCAGTCAAATGCCTTAGGCACTATGCCAGCAGAGCTCCTAGCAAGATGTTAGTAGTCTTATATAAATCAGACCTGCAGATGGCGACAGCTCACTGGGATTAAGCACTATGGCCCTGGTAATGGAACAGTGCCAGCAAAATCAAAGAGCTTAAAGGCCTGAAATGGACATGCTGGTTAGCAATAGTGTTGACCTTGATCTAAAAAGGCAGTTGAAGAGAGGCTGCTGTCTTCACTAAGGGGAGATGAGGTCCCACCCAGTGGTACTGCCATTTGCATTTTATATTCTGAACAGGGTGCTGGCACTGGTGGATCAGTTGGAAGACTGTCCTTATCTCCAGGCGTGGGGGAAGCCAACTGGGACACATAATTCAGACTAGTTTCTCCAGCTGGGTTTTCTCCCAGGAAGTTCATGAAGTCTTTCTCTTGTGCCTTTAGTAAATTTTCAGGAGTGTTCCATAGTCCCAGCTGACTTGGTGGGGCGTTAGGTGGCACTGGGATATGGCCACAAAAACTAAGGTCAGAAGCTGCCTCATTATAGGTAAAGTTCTCAAAGCACATGCAGGGGCCTGGGCGTGAGGGATTCTTTTCCGTTGGAAGGAGGTAAAAGTAGGTTGCAGGCTTGGTAAATTCAGTTTCTGTGAGTGACTTCTCAGTGCCCGAGGACTGGGGCTTACTTCCTTCTGGCTTGTTTACAACCTCAATAGCATCTGGGATGCAGTCCTTGAGGTTCATTATTGTTAGGTGAGTGTTCTCCTGGGAAGAAAACAAGAAATACATTAATACTAACAGAAATGGTCACTATGAGTTGGGTCCGACTTGATGGCACATAACAACAACAACAACAGAAATGGGGTCTGTGTGTCATTCTACGTGAATTAAGTGCATGACATGAAGTTATGGTTTTGATTTTGCTCATGCTTTATCTTGGTCACGAGGTAACGGAAGCTGGTATTGGAAACCAAAGAACTTTCCCTGACAGAAGAAATCGATACAAAAGGAAAGAATATATACAATACAAACTCAACATTTACCTTGGAATTTATCAGCGACAGGACGCTGCTCTTGTAAGGGTCTGGAATGTCAGGGAAACACTTCTCCTTCACCCTACAAAAACAATAAAGAGTAGCCTGAATTTTGCAATGTGATGGGATACTGAGAGCGAGCACTTGGGAGCCAGATTCCTGGGCTCGAATCCTTTCTCCGTCACTTATTAAGAGTTATTTAACTATACCATGCTTTAATTTCCTCTTTGGTTAAATGAATGCAAAACCAAACCCACTGCCGTGGAGTCAAACCTGACTCACAGCAACCCCTCCTTGGGTTTCCGAGGTGGTATCACTACAGAAAGAGTTTGCCCAACCTTCCTTCCAAGGAGTGGCTGGTGGGTTTGAACCTCCAGCCTTCTGGTTAGCAGTCAAGTGCCTTTGGGACTATGCTACCAGAGCTCCCTTGGTTAAATGAAGGCAGAGTTAAATGTGGCCATATCCCAGTGCCACCTAATGCCCCAGCAAGTCAGCTGGGACTATTGAACTCTCCTGAAAATGGTCCTTAGAGTATTGTTGTGAGGATTAATGGGTTATTTTTTGTAAAGCACTTAGAACACTGGCAAATATATAATAAGTGGCATGTAAATATTACCTCTTGCTAGTATGATTAGGGAAACCTTTTTCATTTCTTTAAATAGTTACTTTCCTCCTGTATCTAAGTGACAAACTAAATTCTGAAATCACTTGCATGCTCTCTGACTGAAGTCTTTGTCCTCTTCCTTTTCAGCACTTGTTTTCAGATTATTCAATGGTATTTTTATCGTATTAAATGCTTTTCTGGCTTTTGCTGACTCGTTTGTTGAACAACATCTTCCTCACACACTTACCACTGAATTTTCAAGTAGCAAATGATCATGATGAATAAGATGCTGAGGAGCACGGGGAGTGTGATGCGTGTCAGCACATGGGCTACAAAGAAAAGAGGGTGTGATGAGCACTCAAGAAAGGAAGACTAAGGTGGAGGATAATTATCTCTCAAATGTCTATTTATCAAGATACAATATGAGTTCCTCCTGCCTGGGGGAAAACGAACCAACCAACACAGAGGGCCATTTGCCTTTAACACCATCTGACTCAAACTCGTTCCCTCTCTGGATGAATGGGATCATGACTCCCAATCCTTTGTTCTCTTTCTTTATTCGAATTCTACTTCCCACACTTGGCAAACTTTCATGGTAGGTAAAGTGTAATTTCTGTCCCTGACATTAGGCTTAGATACGTGATTTGGGTGGGATGTTAGGAGTTGAAATGTAAGCAGAAAACAAACAAACAAACAAAAAAAACCAACCAACCACCAAGCCAGTTATCGTCAAGGAGATTCTCACTCCCAGTGACCCCCCATGTGTCAGGGTAGAAGCATGCTCCACAGGGCTTTCAGAGGCTAATCTTTTGGAAGCAGATCACCAGGCCTTTCTGAGTGCAGTCATACATCCCGATTTCCGTCAGCAGAACACAGATACAGGCATATAGATACCCCAAAACCAAAAATCAAACTCACTGCCGTTGAATCAGCCCTGACTCATGGCGACCCTTCCTTAGGTTTCTGAGGAGGTATCACTATGGAAATAGATTGGCCAACCTTCTTTCTGAGGAGTGGCTGGTGGGTTGGAACCGCCAGCCTTCTAGTTAGCAACCAAATGCCTTAGGCACTACACCGAAGTATTTCTTCAGAATATTTATGAGTCTGAAGTCATCATTTTAGTGGAAAATATTTGTGTTTTCCTTCTTGGACAGATTTCCACCTTACACAGGTTTTGGCTTTTGCAGGTTTTACTGGCTATAGATACAGATATAATCTATTAGATTATAAGAGATTAGATTAAGAGATCATAAGGTGATATGATATAATGACTTAAGCCTCATAAATATTCTGAAGAAATACTTCAGCCTAATGAATATTCTCTAAAAGCTGGAACCTGTGAGATGCTATGGAATGAGTAAATCACTCATAGTGCAACCCAAATACGAGGAAGTGTAGACAACAAAGCCAGAAGTAGTTCCAGGAAGTACAAGGGCAGAGATGAAGCGCCATCTTCCACCTCCTTTTGCATTGTTACTGTATGGGAACACAGGCTGTGTGCGGGTACTTTTCTCTGAATACAGTTATTCTTTATGCTTTTATCTTTTTTTGTTTTTCTTTTTTGCCTGTAAATTGTTCCCAGCGAAGAACAACATGCATAGGTTTGGAAGAAGGTAAAAGATACTGATGAATTCCTTTATTTTCATTAGAATCTGGCAAAGCTCACTTCCCCCCTTTGCCTTCAGAGATTTTACTCCTCATCTTTGACTGGCAGTTTTTGCTTTAGCTGCAGTGTGTAATTCTGATGCACATTATTACAATATTAAAAATCGACACCTTTGTTTCCTTGAAACTCTTTGCTACAAAAATATTCGTTTTGCCCAAAATAACAGGGGAGCATTTCCTCCTTTAACCCATCTAGTGTTAGTGTGTCTATGAAAGCAAGAACATTCCTCTCATGCATTTTTTTCTTAAATATTTTACTGAACTGTGCTAACTTTATCATATATGATCTTGATAGTTTTCTCTTTTTTTTTTTTTTTTTGGTACGTTATATTCAAATTCTTGAGAAGATAAGAAACATAAATTCCTTAATTTGTGTAAGACGATATTTCCCTTCTTGTTTCCTTTTTTAAAAAAGCTTATTTCCTCACAGCCATGGACAAGAGAGTGAGCAATTCATCTCTGAAATAAAAGTCTGATGTTAACCAACGTCAAAATATTCAGTGAGGAGAAAAAGTCAAAGAAGCTGTAGTAACTAAGTTCAAGTATGACAAAATGCTCATTAATTACAAATGCAAAGCATAAAATAATCAAAAAAATACATGAGCAGCACCAACATAATTATCAAGAAGCAAAGGATGGAAATCATGCAGAAGCCAACAAATCTGTCTTTCCAGTGATTTCTTCAAGCTTCTGCCAAAAATGTTTATCCTGCAAGCAAAGGCAAAGGAAATAGCAGCATTGAAAAGCTGATGGATTCTCAACTTCTGACGGTGGCTTCAGAGCCTCAAAAAACAAAACAAAAAAAAAACACAGACTCACTTGCAATGTAGCTTGTGGGAGTCAACCACATCTGTCAAAGATGTTCAAAACTGGTTCACAAAATTAAGAGATCAGAAGGTGATATGATCCTAAAGACACTGCAAATACCAGTGGGACCACTCTGTTTTACAGGGCAATGCCTAATAGGACCCTGAAAATGAAAGGGGAGAAATGCTTGTGGGGTTGGTGTTTGAAAGAGCAGCTTACCATCCGTGGGACCATATCTGCAAATGGCACATTTGAGAAACTATGGATAACTGGAAAGAGCCCGAAACCACAGTGTTTCAAGAATATGAATAGGTTTTCAGTAGTATGAATATGGAGTAAGAAAGCTTGGATGATGGGAGCAATTTATGAAGAGTTTTTAACAGCATGAAAAAACAAAATCTAAGCCTTTTGTTTGTAGGCATTGCTACTTGTCATCTGTCATTACCCCTTTCCAATATTAAATTCATTTTCTCCCACCATCCATAGCATGTTTGTACAGATTAAATTAGGCATCTTTAAACAGAAACACATTGCTTACTAAAGAACAGGCCTCTGTGTTCTATGTATGTGTGTGTGTATGTTGTTGTTATGTGCCACTGAGTCATCTCTGACTCAGAGAGACCTTATGTACAACAGAACGAAACACCTATGTGCCAGCCTCACAATCCCTACTATACCTGAGGTCATCGCTGCAGCCACTGTGTCTATCTTGCTGAGGGCCTTCTCCTCTTTTGTTGACCCTCCACTTTACTAAGCATGACATTCTTCCCCAGAGAATGATCCCTTCTGACAACATGACCAAAGTAGGTGAGACAAAGAGTGTGGCCATTCTTGCTTTCAAGGAGCATTCTGGCTGCACTTCCTCCAGGACAGATCTGTTAGTTCTTTTAGCAGTCCATGGTACTTTCAGCATTCTCCGCCAGCACCACAACTCAAAAGCATCAACTCTTCTTCGGTCTTATATATATGTATATGTATTTTGTTGCTGTTATTAGGTGCTATCGAGTCAGCTCTGACTCATAGTGACCCTATGTACAAAAGAATGAAACACTGGCTGGTCCTGTGCCAGCCTCACAATCCTTGCCATATATATATATATAATCTCCAAGTAAATTCCAAAGCTAAAAGAAAAGTAGCCTGAAAATATTATCTAAAATTAATACAAAAATAGCAAGAGTACTCAAATTGATGTTGATCATTGACTCCCATCCCAATCTGCCTACGGGAGTTCTTGCTTTTGGTCTGCAGACCTAGGGCCCTGTTTCACTCCAGTAAGTAGTGAGTGCCATGACGTGCTACTCAGGTGAGCCTGCCCTGATCACTGGTCAGGTCACTGTGGCCATCAGCAGTCCTACCTGATGTGTTCATCTTGTCCCTAACTCTGCCTTCAGCCGAGGGACCCTGGCACCAAAGAAGGGCTCAGCCCAGACTCTGCCATTCACACAATGATAGACATGACTAGTTAGCTTTTTGTTTTCCAGTGAAGAGACTGTGCCAGTGGGGGCCTTCGATGACTCCGTCACTGGAGTAGTTCTTTTCTTCTCTTTCCTCCATCAGTAGCTGTTTTCTTCCACCACTTTCCTGTTCTCTCAGTGTCAGGATTTGCCATGAACATAAGTTTTTGCCACTAACTGGTTCCTGTCATTCCTTTCCCTTCTCTTTTCTTTTTCCATCTTTCAAATCATATATCTTTGGAAAATACCTCTCCCTCTCACACTTTCTGCCACCAAATTTACCAACATGGACTTTGTAAACAAATGATCTCTGCTCCTGCCCTGATCCATGCCACAACCTAACCATCTCTAATTGCCCCTGGAGTAGCTGGCAAAGTCAGGCAGCCATTGGTGTGCCACGAAGTAAACCCAGTTGGAGAAGGTTGCCTGCAGAGAGCAATTCTGCTGAGAAAATCGCCACTGCCCTTCACTGGACAGAGGCCTGTGGCTCTTTGGAAGTCCACATTAAAATAAGCAGCCTGTGATTTTCAAATTACTCTGAGACTGAGCTATGAAGAAGTACTGCAGGGGTCATTGAGGAAGGCAAGAGGAACGTTCTAGGCCGTAATTCAGTCAGATCGGCTCCCCTCTTATCCGTGTTATGTAGCTCTATGTAATATTTTTTGTGAAACAAAGAATTTTAACATAAGAGAGAGAGAAAAAGAGTAAGAAGAAAGGTTTGAAAATTCCTAGTCTAGGAAAGTAATATATCAGACAATGTTTCACTGCTATTCACAAAGTTTTTATTATCCAAATTTTTCAGAAGTGGATGGCTGTATCCTTCTTCCTAGTCTGTCTTAGTCTGGCAGTGCCACTGAAACCTGTCCACCATGGGTGACCCTGCTGGTATTTGAAACACCAGTGGCACAGCTTCAGCCTCACAGTAACATGCAAGCTACTACAGTAAGACAAACTGACAGACGAGTGGTCTTTGGTATGGATTATACCTCAACATTAAGAAAACAAAAATCCTCACAACTGGACCAATAAGCAACATCATGACAAATGAAGAAAAGATTGAAGGTGTCAGGGATTTCATTTGACTTGGATTTACAATTAATACCAGGAGCTCTGGTAGCATAGTGCCTAAGGCACTTGACTGCTAACCAGAAGGCTGGAGGTTCAAACCCACCAGCCACTTCTTGGAAGGAAGGTTGGGCAATCTATTTCCATAGTGATACTGCCTTGGTAACCCAAGGAGGGGTCGCTATGAGTTGGGGCCAACTCGATGGCACATAACAACAATAACAACAATCAATACCCATGGAAGCAGCAGTCAAGAAATCAGATGTCATATTGCACTCGACAAATCTGCTGCAACAGACTTCTTTAAAGTGTAAAAGACCAAAGATGTCACTTTGAAGACTAAGGCCCACCTAACCCAAGCCATGGTGTTTTCAGTCACCTACTATGCATAAGGAAACTGGACAATCAATACGGAAGACAGAAGAAGAGTTAATGCCTTTGAATTATGGTTTTGGCGAAGAATACTAAAAACACCATGGACTACCAGAAGAACAAACAAATCTGTTATGAAATGCAGCTGGAAAGCTTCTTGGAAGCGAGAATGGCCAGACTTCATCTCACCTACCTTGATCACACTGTTAGAAGGCACCATTCCCTGGAGAAAGATATCAAGCTTGAAAAAGTAGAGGGTCAGCGAAAAAGGGGAAGATCCTCAACAAGATGGATTGACACAGTGGCCGCAACAATGCTTAAGGACAGCACAGACTGCTAGGATGGCGCAGGACTGGGCACTGTTTGTTCTGCTGTACAGAACAACTCCTAGGGTCGCTATGAGTCAGAGCCTACTTCACGGCACCTAACACAAACAACAATCTAGATAAAGGCAAACACAACATCTGCATGACATGTTAGTTTCCCAGGAACCTAAGTAAAGAGATTCGACTTGGAAAAACTTACCATATTCATCTGGAGTGGTGACTTTTATGAAAGTACCTTTGGGGCCCTCACCGGCACTTGTGTATGGAGTGACAAAAACTTCATAGAAAGATTCTGGCTGTAGATTTTCCACAACGAAAATCTTTTGTTCTGGGTTGTCAATTTTGTATTTGCAAGCTTCTGAAACATCTGTGATTAAAAATTAAAAAAAAAAAAAAGGTTTTTTTTTTAGAAAAAATTATTAAGGGTGTGATAGAGGTCTCGTGAGAGACTTAGCATGAATACTCTGATTGACTCTGCACTGTCAATGTTTTTAACTCAACCAAAAATTCAATCATAATTTCACCACATTAGGGACACTGATAACATTTTCAAGAGATGGTAGGAAAAGCAGCACATCCCTTTAAAGCAAGGGATGTCGGTGATCCAGGTAGGGTATAAACTCAAAAAACCAAACTCACTGCCATTGAGTCCATTCTGACTCATAGCAACCCCCACTGGGTTTCTGAGGCAGTAAATCCTTACATAAGTAGATTGTCCCATCTTCCTTCCACAGAGCAGCTGGTGGGTTTGAACCACCAGCCTTCTGGTTAGTAGTCAAGTGCCTTAAGCACTGCACCACCAGAATTCCTTAGGTAGGGCATACAAATCCATAATAAGCAGTAAGAGCTGTCAAAACCCCAAACCAAACCCACTGCCATCGAGGTGATTCCAACTTATAGCAACCCTATAGGACTGAGGAGAACTATCCCATAGGGTTTCCAAAGCTGTAAATCTTTACAGAAGCAGATTGTCTCATCTTCCTACCAGGGAGCATCTGGTGGGTTTGAACGGCTGACTTTTTGGTTAGCAGCTGAATGCTTTAACCACTGTACTACCAGAGCTCCTAAGAGCTTGTAAGAGACTTAAAAATAAATTTCATTAATGTTTAACAAAATCATAAGGAAAAAAAAAAACTGCCTAGGAAGAGAGTTGCACAAGTGGCTGGCTTTCTTAAGAAGCTTCTGGTGCTTTTAAGTGCTTCTAGAAATACTAGGCCACACTGTTTTCTAAGTAAACTAAGATAACAGTCCCCCCAATAGCTTGCTCACCCTACTAGGTGGTTTAAGAACCACCTTCTGCTCTTCTGGTGATGGAAGAATTGTTAATGATAAATGATAGTTGCACATTGTGATTAATGTTATTGATGTTGCTCAATTGTACACCTGAAATACACTGAATTAGAATGTTGTGAGATATATGTGTGTGTATATATATATATATATACACACACACACACACACACATATTATATATGTATATGTTGTTGTTGTTGTTATGTGCCGAGGAGTCAGACCCGACTCATAGTGACCATTCTTTGGGTTTCCTAGGCAGTATCACTATGGAAATAGATTGCCCGATCTTCCTTCTGAGGAGTGGCTGGTGGGTTTGAACCGCCAACCTTCTGGTTAGCAGTCAAGTGCCTTAGGCACTAAGCTACTAGAGCTCCCATATATGTATATATATATTTACAACAGTGAAAGAAGAAAATTGTAAAAGGTCATATAAGAACAGTATACAGCCTTGCCAGTCAGCAATGACAGCATTTCAAATAATAAGATCTTGAACAAGCAAATAAACCAAAACACCAACATCACCTGAGAGATTGTCCCTTTTGAATCCTGGGGTGCACTGCTCCATCCTGGATTTCAGATAGACATAGTATCCTTTTATGAAGCCAGGTTGTGATTCAGTGGAATAACCTTGCCAATTCAGAGTAAAGGAGCGGGATGTCAAGCTATCTGTGGCCACTTTAGGATTACTGGAAGGAGCTAGGAAAGGAAGTTGGGGTAAAAACACAGTCATGATTTGAGAAATATTCTCAGAGAATTCCTATAAACTGAAAACAGGACTGTTGCCCTTTCTAGAAGCCATCCATGAGAGCTTTTGCCAAATGAAGGCATTTTCTCTTTCTCTTCATCGTTGGACAGTCTGTGAGAGTAGGGAAGGACTTCAGTAATCCTCCTACTCAAGGCTTGCCTTTCAGGTGAAATGGATGCTCAGAATGACTAAGTAATGTGCACAAGGTCACACAGCAAAAAGAAAAACAATGAACAATCTTTCTTAGACTTTATTCTTTAATGGTAAGTGCTATTTGAGAGAAGACCCAGCCAGAAAACTTAATGAAGTGAGGAGGAAGGGGAGGAAGAAGAGGTGAGGTGAGGGTTCAAAGAGATGAAGGTGAATCTGAAGGAGAAATTTAGCCCCCGCTGTGGCCATGCAAAGTTATCATATGTCACTAAAAAATTCCAGGTGCATTTATTTCAAAGGCCTCCTTGAGCCTGTTTTGTTTGCCATACCTGTTTGTGTATACTTGGGCCTCCGCATACCACATACACAAACAACACACACTCCTTTCAGGTTTGGAGAGTGCCTGCTATAAAGTGAGGACCAGCCCTCACCAACAGAAGAGTCTCCAAGTGGCTCTGACTTGTGTGAGGTATCAAGGCTCTCCCGCAGGCTCTCGTGGGCTTGAGACCCTGTACTCCAACGATGAGTAATAAACAACCACACGGAGTGCCAACAATCTCCACCAGTGGTGGGACAGCGGTAAAGATTCTGGGGGGCAATTCCACCATATGTATCAAAAGTTTTAAAAATTGTAAAAGAAATGAAAAAAAAAA